TTATAAAAACATTTAGCACAGTTCTAATGGCAGCTTGCGATCATGAATATAAATTTACTATAATTGATATCGGAGCTTATGGAGGTGAAAGTGATGGTGGCATTTTGGCAAGATCATCTTTTGGAGTAGCAATAGATAACGATGATTTAAAACTACTTGCAAATTCTGCAGTTCTTCCAGGTTCTAATCAAGCAACGCCTTATTTCTTTGTTGGTGACGAAACTTTTAAGATGTCACGTCATATGATGCGCCCTTATCCGGGTAGAAATCTGACTGTAGAAAAAAAAATATTTAATTACAGACTTTCTCGGGCCAGACGTGTCATCGAAAATGCATTCGGAAAAGCGTTGAATAAGGCTGCCTCGAATTGCGTACCACGGTCAGTGGTGATGGTATGGGGAGCACCGAAACGAGAAATCCAGTTTGTAAAGAAGTGTTTTGCAACAGTGTCCGCTGCTATATCTGGTATTGGTACGACTTCGGGCCATCTGGAAAATCGGTCAATTAGGGTTAGACAATATTTAAACCCTTGTGAAGTTGGCAGTGGGCCTATGATATCCAGGTGAACGTGTTCAAACCGTGCGTCTGGAACTTGAAGTTTTTTAGGTACAAAATGATTGTGTCGAGCTATCTTCGAACGTTGACAATGGAGACATGCTTTTGCCCATGTAGTGATGTCTTTATTCATGCCTATCCATACGAATTTCTGTGCTATTTGCCGTCTGGTGGCTCTTCCGCTGGGGTGCGACAACCTGTGTACCATGTCAAATATGCGGCGTCGTAGAAAAACGGGAACAAATGGTCGTATTTCAGTCGTGGAGCAATCACAATACAGACTTGCGTTGGTCTCCGGTAGTAAGAATCTTTGCAGCCTAAGCGATGATGACTGGGATTGAAGTTCGCGTTGCAATTCTTCGTCAGAGGCTTGTTCGCGTGCAAGTTCTTCCGTGTCAATGATTGTTGGCATTGCTATTGCATCTACCCTGGAAAGTGTGTCGGCGACTATGTTGTCTTCTCCGGGCACATGTCGAATGTCGGTTGTAAATTCGGAAATGTAAGTCAATTGTCGACATTGCCTTGGTGAAGCCTGTTCAAATTTCTGATTAAAGGCGAATGTAAGCGGCTTGTGATCGGTGAGTACAAAAAAATCTCTACCTTCCAACATGAATTTAAAATGTTTAATAGCTGCGTAAACTGCTAATAGTTCTCTGTCGTACGCGCTATATTTACTTTGTGCTGCTGTGAGCTTCCTGGAGAAAAAACTGAGTGGTTGCCAACTTCCATCCTTGACTTGTTGTAACACGGCGCCGATGGCTGTCCCAGATGCATCAGTTTGTACTGAAAACTGTGTGGAAGGATTCGGAAATGAAAGTAATGTGGCATTGGCTAAATCTTCTTTAATCTGGCCAAAGGCGGTCTTCATGTCTTGTGTCCAGTTGATCTGCGTTCGTCCATTTTTCTTTTTACCCGCAATCGCTTTCTGTAATGCGATCTGAGTGTGCGCTATATTAGGTAGGAATCTGTTATAGAAATTGATTATACCTAGAAATCGGCGAAGTCCTCCGACATCGGTAGGCTGAGTGAAATCTCGTATAGCTTGGACTTTTTCTGGATGAGGTGCGAGGCCTTCTGAAGAGATGCAATGTCCCAGGAATGAAACTTCTGTCGTCCCGAAGACACATTTAGCGACGTTAATGACAATTCCAAATTGTTGCAGTCGGATGAATAATTGTTTGAGATGAGCACGGTGTTCCTCTGGGTTCCTTGATGCCACGATGATATCATCTAGGTAAGAATAACAAAAATCGAGTCCTCGTACAACTTCGTTTATGAACCTTTGAAAGGTTTGCGCCGCGTTACGCAACCCAAAAGTCATAAACGGAAACTCGAAGAGTCCAAAAGGGGTGATGATGGCCGTCTTGGGAATGTCTTCTTCCCTGACCGGAATCTGCTGATATGCCCTGACGAGGTCTATTGTTGAGAATATAGTTGCACCATGTAGGAATTGTACACAGTCTTGTAAAAACGGGATTGGATAGCGATCAGGCTCCGTAATAGCGTTGAGTTTGCGATAATCCCCGCATGGCCTCCAGTCTCCGTTTTTCTTTGCGACTAGATGCAATGGACTTGCCCAACTGCTGTTAGAAGAACGACATAATCCTTGTTGTAGCATAAATTCGAACTCTGCTTTCGTCGCTTTAAGCTTGTTAGGTGCTAAACGACGAGCTCTGGCTACGACTGGCTGTCCTTTTGTTTCGATTGCGTGCGTCACGTTATGCTTTTGACTTTTGTTGATTAATGAAGCTCGTGTGATCTCTGGAAATTCTTTGAGTAAATCCTCGAACTGTGTGTTTGTTTTGAAGTGAGGTACTTGTGAAGCGGAAATGCTATCGATATGTCCGGATACTTTGAGGCTAGTGTTACCATCGATCAGTCTTCTTCGGCGTAAATCCACTAAAAGATTAAAATGTGACAGAAAATCTGTGCCTAGAATAGGTTTACTTACGTCTGCCAAAAGAAAAGACCATTGGAACGCTCTCCGAAGTCCAAAGTTTATTTGCAGCAGCTTTTGGCCATAAGTCGGAATAGGTGTACCATTGGCGGCTCGTAGTATAAGATTTGATATGTTTTGCTTCATTTTAGTCGTTGCAGGAATTACGGAAACATCTGCCCCGGTATCTACGAGAAATTCTCTTTTTGAAAGTCGATCGGTAACAAATAGGCGGCGTAAAGTTGTATCCGAAGTGTCCGCCGCAGATGACACCCCGGGTTCTAGTTTTCCTCCTTTTTGTCTGGTTTACTCTTCCAGCTGCAGGGTGAAGTGCACTTTTTAGCTTCTTGTCCGAAACGTTTGTGATACCAACAATATTTTGGTTCCGCGGAGGTTGATCTTGTACTTGATCTGCTGCTAGATCTTTGGCAAAGGCAAGGAGTTGCACTGCGACCTTTTGATTTGATACGCTCGAGTCTTTTGATGATCTCGCAAAGTTGACCTTCCCAAGGAGACGCGTTGCCAGCTGTGGGAACTAACTCTGTGCTGTAGATGTTGGGAGTGACAATGTCGTGAATTCGGTCTGCCATTGTTGCTAATTTGTCCAATGTATCTTCACTGGTTGAAAGTACTGTCTGCGTATTGGTTGGTAAACGTTGCATCCATAAAGATTTGAGTAATTCATCGGATACTTTGCTCTCTGCAAGATCTTTCATGTGTTTTAACAGTTTAGACGGTTGTTGGTTACCAAGTTCCGTTGTGTTTAACAAGGCCTTTAGGCGTTTCTCTTCGCTGTCTTGAAACTCATTTAAAATGCGTGTTTTTAACACTTCGTATTTATTATTTTCAGGAGGATTAGTAATTAATTCGCTTACCTCAGCGAGGACTGATGCATCTAAAGCTTGTAATGCGTGGTAAAATTTGGTTAGATCCTGCGTGATACCGTTCGTTGCGAATTGAGCTTCCATTTAGATAAACCATATTACCGGTTTTTCTTTGCTGAACTGTAGTGGACGGATGCTGATGCGACTGACTTCTTGTGGTCCAGATCCGTGAGCCATTGTTAAGAATTGCGTAGGAAGATTGACTAAAGGCGTGGACGCGTATTGTTATTCTCCCCGTGGACACAATTATCACGTCGGGGTCACCAATTTGTGGGGATTTTGGACAGAATGTCGATAGTCTCCCACTGACTACTGTCGGACCAACACAGAAAATTAAACAAAGAAGTTCCACTAATATCACATTTATTGAGTACGAGGTATACAGGCAAGTACTATCAACTAACTACGCGCGGGAGACTCTTTTTCCTCACGCCTAACCTGAATAACTGAAAAACCCTAGAATGGTCACTAGGCGGACGGACTAAACTTTTTTCGCGCCGCAGCGCTGGTTGTGGTATATAGCGCCACAGATCTAGTACTAGTATAGACATCTGTGCCTCAATGGATGTTTACGATAATTCAAGTTCGAGTTAGTTTCACTAGGACCGAAAAATGAGGTAGACATAACCATCTAGAACCTTTATGATTTATGACAACTTGACGCTGTCTTGTATTGCTTGAGTTAAATTCATTGAATTTGTTGAGTTTATTGAGCAAATTTTATTGTAATAGAAAAATGTCATTTATTATTATTATTAATTATATTATTATTATAAAATTATATTATATTTATATTATTATTATATTATATTATTATATTATATTATATTATATTATATTATTATTATATTAATTATATTATTATTAATTTATTAAAGAGGTATACCAACATACATACCAACATTATTTGTTTCTTTCATAGACTGATTTGCAGTTGACATTTTTCTATTACAATAAAATTTGCTCAATAAACTCAATAAATTCAATGAATTTAACTAAAGCAATACAAGACAGCGTCGAGTTGTCATAAATCATAAAGGTTCTAGATGGTTATGTCTATCTCATTTTTCGGTCCTAGTGAAACTAACTCGAACTTGAATTATCGTAAACACCCTCTGTGTCTGTGACATGGTTACACTCGTGTAGTGGTGCCACTAGACATAACGAGTGACAAGCATAAAGAGATTAGGCGGTTTTATTATTGTTGTATTATAAATTTTATAAAATACTTTAACTTTTATTACTCTGAGGCTCTGCCTACAGTAGACAAAATATTAGAAATAGCAATAAACATTTAATATTAAAAAGAGAAATTATTTTACATCTAACAAGAGAATAAAATATATTAATTAGTTCCAATTCTTATTTCTTAATTTATGCATTAATTTTTTCTATTCTTTTTATTTTTAAAATAAATAATTCCAATTTCTTATTTCTAATATTTAATAATTATTTCTATTTCTATTTCCTATTTTGTTTATTGTGCGCAGGATCTGACTTTCATTTCTCACATATACGCAAATAGTGAGTTCTATGTGTGATTACTAAACGAATA